CCAACGTGGTATGCCTACAACTAAATTCTTCTCTCCAGATCTGTTTCTCTTTATCTACCCATGCTTGTCAGTCATCTAGAGAGTTCAGACTCAGTCTGTGAGGAGGACTGGCTTCCACATCCTCTGGCTAGTTCACTCACAGAGCATGGCTAATTCCACTCTTTCCCCTCTCATTTCCTTTCTATCCCTATTGTTTCAGCTAAGGTCCTCCTCATCTCTTGCTGAGACACCAGAAACAGAAAACCAACCCTTCTTTACAGTTCCTTCTACCTCCTACCCTCAACAATACTACCTACACAGTGATCTTCTGAAAATAAAATTCTGCTTAAGATCTTTTATCTGCTTTCCTTTGACTAAGGGCTACAAAATAAAATCCAATCACTTCAGTAAGCAGTGTGAAGTCCTTCACGACCTGACCCATTCACTGGGCAAGCTTCTCTTAGGGGTTGGGGATGCATGGCTCAGTGCTTGCCCTACTCCAACTTTATAAATTTCTTCTTAAATTAAATTTACTCTGCTATAATTTGAGATATGTAATCTTAAGCAAAGCCACAGCTTTTAAAGATTCTAAGCATTTCACTTTAACTGCCTCCTATCAATTTATTTATTTATTTATTTATTTATTTATTGTTTTTGTTTTTGTTTTTCGAGACAGGGTTTCTCTGTGTAGCCCTGGCTATCCTGGAACTCACTCGGTAGACCAGGCTGGCCTCGAACTCTCAAACTCAGAAATCCGCCTGCCTCTGCCTCCCAAGTGCTGGGATTAAAGGCGTGTGCCACCACCGCCCGGTGCCTCCTATCAATTTAAAAGGTAAAATTAAAACGTTGTTTTTCCTGTTAGATCTGCAGGGATCTGCAGGTTTCATTTTCTTTTCTACCTCTAACTGTACTGGGAAGCCTTACTTCTTCTGTAGTGAAAATGATGTCAGGAGTCACTTAAGAACCCTGTACATGGTCCATTCAAGTCAAAGCTCTAACTGCGTGCACCTTCTAAAAGAAGCTACAGTACGGTTTTAGCTGTACTGTCCAAACCAGAGGAGAAACAAGACTGTTTTAAAGGAACAGAATCTGCAGGTATGAGATGACAAAAGGGGGACAGCAGTTGGAGATGACTGACCCTTAGGAAATGGCTCTGTATATGCAGCAGAGGGGCTGGGAACTAGGAGTAAGCTTTCCATGGAACCTAGCAGCACGAGGCTGTACTGCTGCACTGACCCTGAAAGATACCACGAGGCTGTCCTGCTGCACTGACCCTGAAAGATACATACATATGCTTGTATGCACAACACCACAGTCCTTGTTGTTAACTGCAAAATACTGGCTTTCATTCTATACAGCAAAGAGAGGCAACAGCAGTAGTGAGGGGGTCAGGCCATGTCAGTTTCTACTTGAGAAAAATGGTTGGCAGAAGAACTCACACCATTTGGTGAGCACAGAAGTCTGAGAAGAACTCAGTATGGCTACTGTGGCCAAGCTGTGGAGGCAATGCAGTAAAATATAAACATATTTAAAACCCTTAATTCTTGTTCTGAAGAAGAGGCCTTTCTTCTCTTTTCAACATCAACATTATTTTTAGTTTAGAGGTTCTAGCATATTCTTATGATCGCATTGTTCATTGTTGTAATAAATACAGCACAAAGCTACTAAAACAAAGCCTCTGTGTGATGCACAACACAATACTTTTCTTCTACTCTTGGAGAAAGCTTGCTTCTAACTATATTGTAGGGGTTATCTTATGGCAATTATATCTTAGGAACTGACCAATTACTATTACAGTAAAACTTCTGGGGAAACACCTTCAACTTTCAGTTCTCTGATCCCTTACTTCTGGACACTTGATGCATAGCTGTTCAGTGAGCCCTCCTGGCCCCACTGACTTTCAAACTCTTCCTAACTAACCTCACTTTTATGTCTAATATAGCTTGATCTTGTTTTCTTAATAATTTGATGTGTTAGGCTCTTGTGTTAAGAAATATTAGCTTCATTTAATACTCCCAGAATAGAAGGTATCTCCTTTATCTGAATTTGCTAACTCTGACTAATGGTATAATAGTCTATCTTGTGACACAAACTTAAAAGCTCAACTTTTCAAATACTGATCTACTTGTCCTTAAAGCTACCCTTCTACAGTTATCAGTATTCTGATAAAAATGCTTGATAAATTTATATCCCGTTTAAATAATGTACTTCCTGGCTTATTCTATTAGGAACAAGTGACATTCCAACTCACCAGACAACATGAACCTCAAGGATCTACAGTACTGAGGGCTAGTCCTTGGGCAATGGACAATTCCCTCATATAATACAAGCCCAGAGGTCTCAGCACTGCCAGTGTCTCTCTCTCTCCAGGCAATACTCTGATGCAAGCACAACGGCCTAGAGCACACCTCTGCCTCTGCAGAGAAGCTCACACTCAATTCATAGCTCATCACTGTCAGGAAGACCCTGTGATACTCTTTTTCCTGTCAATCCCAGTTAGTTTTCTCATGTTTACTTAACTGTATGTTATACGCTATACAATACAGTCTGACAGTTTCTCCTACTCTAGGCCCTTTTTAGGAAGGGCTCCCATCATCTTTATTATGTGCTTTGCTCTGATATATAGGTTCACCAAGTGAATTCTTGATCCTGATTTGCAACACTTTAACTCCATTATCTAAAACAGAAGAGGAATCCTTCAGAAATTCATAAAATCTATTCTATACTTGATATATGCTCTATGCCACTCAATCCAAGGGCCATCTCATCTGTAAAATGGGATTACTAACATCACATTGTATTCTTTCTATCACAGAGCAGAGGTAACGTGTTTACAGAAGTCTCAGTATCTGAATCAAGTGAGCAGGGCTCACAGGGCCTCAAGGAGATGGCAGTGGCAAGCATCGGGCCTGCATGGGTCTGCATACACACTGGGGCTATTAAGGCTGGGTGCTGTGGGACTCTCAGAGTGGGAGGCAGCAGTGTGTCACTGACTGTTGGCTCCTAGGACTCTTTTCTCCTATTGGGTTGCCTCACTGCCTTGTCCTAGTGTAGCTTTGGGGTGGGGATTAGGTTTGGTTTTCTCTTGGAGGTTTGCTCCTTTCTGAAAAGAAACTAAGGGAGAAGGGAGCCTGGAAAGCTGGGAAGAGTGGAGAGAGAAGAAAGTCAGTATGTATTGTATGAGAGAAGAATCTATTTTCATGAAAAAAAAAAAAGAGAAATTCTAAGAAAATGGAAAAAAAAGAAGTCTCAATATTTAAGTAAATATACAGAACCACAAAGTAGCAAGAAATTAATTTCTCTTACTCATCACTGGAAGTTTCAGGGAAATATATATTTTTTCTTACTACATACTATAAATTTCATCTTGCAAAGTACAGAAAAATAAGTTGGCTCATTCAAGGATGAAGAGGGCTTTGTGGGAAGGTTAAACATGACCTTCAATTGTACCTTAGGCTAAAAAGTTTGTTAAAAGTGAAGGTATGCCTGTGGTTTTGCCCTGTATAAACCCACCTCCAAAAGGATCTAAGTGAGAGAGGCCATGGTGACCATGGGGCCTGGCATTAGCAAAATTGAAAATTCCTCTTAAATGAAGATTATGAGAACTATAACGTTATCTGTTGAATGCTCATAGGAAGTACATAGCACAGCTGTGCAGAATTCCACTCACGTTCTTCTGGCTTCATTTCAGTTATCTTTTGGAGCCAATTTTTCCATGTTTGGCAGTCACAAGGCTCATGTGCTTCACCAAGGCACTCCCTAAGAGACAAAACAGAAAGCCATTGAAAAATATTCCACATCACTGTCTGGATAAAAAAACATGGATGGTAAACACTCATCCAATCTTAAAACAGAAAAAATTAAGGTACAAATAAGATACAAAACATTTCAAAAGAGATTTTGAAATGAGAGTCCAAAGCTAGACAACTTCAGTCCAACCTTTAAAAATCAGTATGGTTATAGACTTTAAAGTTACACACAGACTACCTAACATCACTTAGTTTTGCAGGTTTAGGAGCTATGATTTTAGCCTCAGCCAGGCTTCTAATTCTTACTAGTGGAGGCATGTGTTCTGTGTTAGCAGCATCCCACTGTCTCAGAGGTGTGTTAGTGCTGGAGGGCAGGTCCCCCAAGTTTGTGGGCATAAGTAACTGTGTCTAGTCACCTCAGCCCTCAGTGCCGGAGTCACAGATACCTGCTATCCAGCAAGCACTTTATCCACACAGTCATTATCCCAGCACTGCAAATCATATTTGTATAGTTACATTTACCTTCAAAATCTCCATGATCAATCACAGATCCTTTTACAGGATCTCAGAAATTTGATATAAGCAACTGAAAACAGTAACCTATCACTGAGATTCAATTATATGTTATTTCTATGAATGTATTAGAACCTATGATGGTTTGTATATGCTTGGCCCAGAGAATGGCACTATTAGGAGTTGTGGCCTTGTTGGAGTAGGTGTGTCACTGTGGGCATGGGCTTTAATACCCTCACACTCCTAGCTGCCTGGAGGCCAGTCCTCTCTTAGCAGCTTTCAGATGAAGATGTAGGACTCTCAGCTCCTCCTGCACCATGCCTGCCTGGATGCTGCCATGCTCCTGCCTTGATGATAATGGAATGAACCTCTGAACCTGTAAGCCAGCCCCAATTAAACACTGTTCTTATAAGAGTTGTCTTGGTCATGCTGTCTGTTTACAGCAATAAAACCCTAAGAAAGAACCCAACTAGTAAGAAAGAGCCTAATTCATTTATAAAATTAGTCATCTTGATTTAACATTATGCTACATTGTGTACTAGAAAGTGTCATTAGGGAGAGATATTCCAAATGTATATTAACACTATTATTTACTATTATTATTTACGATGTTAGCACTACCACTACCACCTTCTTAAATAAAGATATTTGTAAAGATCAAGTTTGTTAAGAACTAAGAGGTTAATATTTCACTATATTAAAAATGCACTGATACTGATTTTACTTCATACTTCATAATTATCACTGAAAACTAGAAGTAACAAGCATTGTTGAGGACTTAAAAACTGGAACCTTTGGGCACTGCTGATGAAAATGCTACTGTAGATGTAGCTGTCTGAGGAACAGGTTGGTGGTTTTCTATAAAGTCAAACAGAATTATCATCTAACAAGTTCCCATTAGGTGTTACTGTATTACTGCTTTTTTCTTCACTGTAACAATGCAACACCAGGACAGAAGTACCTTAGGGAAGGTAGGTTTAACTTTGAAGTAGATACGCATCATCACAGTGGAGAAGGTATGGAGGCTGGGGTCCCACCTGTTACACAGCAACAACCTACTTCCTCAAGACAGGCCCACTTCGCAGAGGCTCTACAATGTCCCTAAACGTTGTATCAGCTTGGGACCAAGTGCTCTAATGAATGACCTTCATTCTCTAAAGGGAAATAAGCCAGATAAACAAAGATAAAAACTTCAGGATTTAGAGTAGGCCAATTCACAGAGAAAGAAAAGAAAGCAACAGTTATCAATGGTTGCTGGGGAGAAAAAGAGGGAGGATAGCTGCTTTAGAGTCATAGGGTCTCTAGGGGTTTTGAAAAAAGGTAAGATTCAGTGAAGCTGGTTGTGGTGATGCACCCTTTAGTCCCAGTACTTGGGAGGCAGAGGCGGAGAGACAGAGGTAAAGGCTAAGGCAGGCAGATCTCTGTGAGTTCAAGGCCAGCCTGGTCTACAGAGTGAGTTCTAGGACAGCCAGGTTACAATGATAAACTCTCTTTAAAACAAATAGGTGAGAGGTGGTAGCTGCAGTCAGTGCAACTTAATAGCCACTCAATACTGCTGGGTCATGCAAAACACAAGTGCATGTGTCACAAGTGCTCACTTGCATACTGATATCTGTGATAACTGCAAACTTTCACTACTACTAGTAGAGACTCTCACCTGAGATTAATAAATATAAATTAGTTCCATTAAGCTTTTTCACCCCTGGAGATTAAATATCATATTTACTATCTTCTCCTAGAAGAATCAATAATAGTATATTGATCTTGCTGTTAGGATATATTCTGAGAGTAAAATGAAAGAAAATCATGGAGGAAAACTCAATACTCTCAAACAGAATCTAAAGAAACCAAAACACTTCTTTAAAAGGCTGTAACTGCTTATCTATATGCACAGATAGCTCTCTAAGGCTGTGGCATGAGATAGAGACAGAAGTTCTTCCTTTCCAAAAGTCACAGGACAAAGGCTCACTGCTGCTGCAGAAGACAGCCCAGTCAGTGAGATTTTTTTCAGGGTGTGATGACAATTTGCCGGTTTCCTATGAACACTGAGAGTGGGTATAACAGGAGACACTTGTAAGAAGCTGCAGCAAGGACTGCAAAGTAGAGAGAGCGCCACAGTTGCTAGTTAGTGCTATCTTGAGCACTAAGCACCCAAAAAAAGAGGCTTGCCCTCCAAAGTACTGTAACAATGGCCAGATCGAGTAGCTGGATGATAATCTAGATTGCCAATGCAGCCCTGCTAATACCGTAAATGAAATTCTGTAAGAATTTTTGCTCTTCTGAGATGTATTTTGCTGTATAGCTGGCTGGTTTCAAGCCTGTGATCCCCCTGTCTCAGCCTCCTAAGTTTACAAGGAGGCAGTGCCATACCTTCCACCTAGAAATGTTTTAGGCACTACCATGCCTTCCATCTAGAAACGTTTTTAATTGGTGACTGCTGTCTGGCATCTACTGAAAGTGCATCTCAAAATGTCTATACAGCATGGTACAGAGGAGAATCTTGGTTAGATATCAAAGGAATATCCAAGAAAGTGTATAGGTAAGAGGTTATAAAGAAAGACATGTTTGTCTAAAAGTCTTCAGCCCTGGATGTTAACTAACATCAACAAAACAAGAAATGGCCCTGTGTTGAGTATATGCTAACATGCACAACTGTTGGTAGAAATATAAAATAGCTCCAAAAGGCTCTGAAAAAAAAAAAGCCTTCTACTTTCAAGCTTTACTACTTGATGAAAAAAAATTTCTCTCAAGAAGTTAGACATTCCAGTTATATGTCATTACAGAATCTTAGTAATAATCTATACTAAGTGAATTACATAAGAATAATCATTTTATAATTATTTACCTTTGCTAGAGTTCTGAGTCATGAAAGCAATGTTCTAAATAACTACATGTATGCACACTGATATTTTGTTTCTTGGTCAAATGAGATAAGAGTATCAGAAGATGTGATCATTTCTACTCAAAATTTCTGACTACAGTCAAAACATTTATCCTATATGACTAAGAAGCAAAGGAAGAAAAAGATTGTATATTAATGCCCACAGTGCTGTAGTAGACTATACAGAGATTCCAGAAAATTATGTAGCAGTCATATAGTCAAGTGATTAACAAAACTGAAAGGCAACAAGATTAAACTAATAACTGAGAATTTGAATTTGTCTTTCATAAACCTAACTTCATTTCATTCAAGTCACTGGCTTTTCTTCCCCTCAGGCTGACATTCAGAAAATGATTCAGTGTGGCAAGTTCTCTGCTGCCCTTCAAATGATTTGCCAAATGTGATCTAGTCCCATGTGGCCTTTCCCAGATCCCAGCCTGGAATGGAATTCAGGCTAAGCCCTGTCTCGGTCTTTCATCTTCCGTGAGTCTCGGTCATTAGCAGCCTGATGTATCAGGGCAGCAGAGAGTAAATCGGTACGTTTCTCCAGAGGTTGAGAAGCTTACCATTTACCGGCACACACGTGCTTTATTTATTTTTATGCTACAGTTCTACTCTCAGTCTTTCTATCAGTGAGGCAAAGTCAGTAGCAGTGATAAATAAAAATGTTTAACTGCAAAGATGAGAATTTTTTCTTTTAAATGTTTTGAAAAGTTACCTTTAAGGCACGTGAATAGAACTTATTGCTAAGAATTTTCTTGGTATTTTATTTTTTCAGTCTCATTTAGCCAGAAAAGTAGTAATCTGGTATTGTTTTCTTAATTACTATATCCAAACTCTAGTAAGCAAACTTTTTCTGTAAAGAGGGAAACAATAAATGCCTTACACAACTATGTATTCATGGTCTTTGTGGCAACACCTCAATTCTGTGTCACAACTTCATAACAGATACAAATATACATAAATCAATTTGCACAGAAGGCCTTAATTGTGCTCCAACAAAATTTCATCTTTAAAACTAGGTTTACATAGTAATTTGCTGGCCTCTAACCTCCAATGTTTTTGTTAATAGTAACAGCGGGAAACAGACATGATGGGACAGTTCCACAACTGTGCCTTTTCACTATCAGCAGTGCTATGATTGGATCGTGACTTAGAACACTAGAGTTTTCATCTTAAAATTTAAAGTGTACTTAAGCTCAGCTGGTGAAGGCACTTGCTATCAAGCCTGACAACCTGGATTTGATCCCTGGAACTGAGAAGGTACAGGAAAGAACTGCCTCCCATCAGTTGTCCTCCGACTTCACATGTGCACTATCTATACACTGTGAGAGCTCCACATACATACGCAACATGCATGTACAAATACATAGGTAATTTTTAAAAATGAAAAAGTATACTTATACAATATTTGATAATTATGGAAATAGATAAAAGGCAGAATACTTTTTCTGATAAACTAATTAAGTAAAAAAAATTAATCTACTCTGAATAAATGAGAACACTGATTAATGAAAAACATAAAACCAAGTGAGCGCGTTGAGTGACATATCCTTTGCAATATTAATTCATCATCAGGTCAGCCTTATTCAGTACTTAGGAGGCGCTAGACACTAAGCAAAATACAGGATATTTAAAGGCTGTAGTCACAAGCTCTTAACTAGGCTCACACTTTATAGTTACCTAAGAACTCATTTTGGGAGAACCTGAAGTCCAAGATGAAAATCTAGAAAAGACTGCTTAGTCATCCTAAGAAGCCTTGGCTTAGAACAGTTGCCAAAGGCTTATAGTTTATGAAGACATGATACTATGAACTTTCCAACCTACAGTTAGCAATTTTGTTATTACAGAGTAAAAAATGGGCTCTAGAATTAACAGTGGTTAATTCCATTTCTGCTATTTCTGAGCAGTACAACACTAAGTATCTCTGAGACTGAGTTTCCTTATGGATAACATGGATATAACAGTATGCAATCCAGAGGATTGGAAAAATAATTCAATTAAATAATATAATCACATTAAAAATGATTCAGTATGGTGGAAATATCATGCCCACAACAGTTATGACCTGTTTATTACACTTTCTTAAATTACTAAAAATAATACCAAGTATACTACAATTTAAAACCTGATTCAAGGTTCAAAGTATGTATAAAAACTATCAGCAAAGTATTGAGGCTGACTCCAGCCTGTCTTATACTAACCAGCAGAAGAGGTGTCCTTTGCCGCAGTCCACAGCAGGGGCTCTGAGCAATGGGAAGCTGAGGGTGTCAGGCCCAGACGGATTGGACCCCTGTTTTGTCAGCCTGACTGCTCTTTCACAGCCTGCGGTAGGACACCATTTAATGGCAGGATTATTTTCAACAAAGGCCTGTTTAAAAATCATAACAAGAAAAAGCAGGAAACGATTTTAGCTGCAAATTCTAAAACAGTGTATCTCAACAGTGACTAAAAGCAAATCAAAGAAAAAACAATACTAAAAACAGTACTGGAAGGTTATGTAAATACTTCAGAATCAAAAATGTGGCAATTACCTTAAGTAATAGAATGATTTTCAAATCCTTTTTTCTTTAATCTAAAAACCAGGCAAATGACAATAAGGTAAAAAATGCAATTATCTGCATAAATAATGTCTAACTTAAAAATGATTTTTTTTTTTGTCAGGAGCCATCAAGCTAGTAATTAGAAGGTGATCTTCCTGAGATGGGTCTACCTTGAATTAAAATATACGATGGTGCTCTGGTAGGCAAGGCCCAGGAGAAATTCATTTTAGGAAAGATTCCTGCTATTAATATGTTTCCCTGTTATTATTAACTATATATAACAATCACTAGGTCTTAGCCCACCCTTTTGAGACAATCTCTGCAGAACAATGAAGATCTACTGTCTTGTAGTGATGCTATATAGGCAAACAGATGATTTCTTAAACCTTAATGATGATCCTACAAGAATTCCTAAATTTATAGTAATTATTAAGCTCTTCTAATAACGCTTCTATTAAATTCTTTCTGATGTCAAAACTGCAGTGAGAACTCTACTACTCTTTAGTGTCATGAGTTACTTGCTTCCGAGATAGCAAGCAGTTATCTATTACTCAGAGCACATTCCAAAAGGTTGTAAAACCATTAATCAAAGGTCACAAAAAAGGAACTAACGATTTATTATAGGTGTTAGGACAGAAGATAAAATATTGACTGGGTTTATCTATACAAAACTTCACTAATAACTTATCTATGGCTTTTAACTCTCAGTACACCTGTAGAGCTATGATAGACAATGAATGTCTAGCCAGATAACTACTCCTAATGGATATACATGTAAACATTCTTTGTTGTAAACTTCTAATTTGATTTATGATTTGAATTTATGTGTAAACTTCTGATGAACTTTTTACCATGTGATCATGTATTCCGAAAGATGAAGAAGTGCTGAGGACAGAGAGGAGAGGATAATTCTCTGTATCCCCTCTTTCCTTAGCATTCTCCTTGTCCCGCCTTTTTTTCATTCTGTTTATCTCCTTTTTCTTACAAGCCCCTTCTCCCTTTTTCTTAGAAAACTTTCATAGTAAACTTTTTAGAGAGAACTTAGAAATAAAAGCTAAACTCATTTTTGCCTAAGCCAGCGGCTTTTAACCCTCAGAACGTGCAAGAAATCTTTTAAAGATCCTTTAGAAGCTATCAACAAGCATTTAGTATAGTTAGAGAGCTAGAATGTCTGGAGACCATCAGTCTTTAAAGCTACACTGGAGTCCAACTCTGTGTTTTTCAACCTGCTCTAGTCCAGGAGGCTCCCGGCAGTTTGCCAACATTCTGTGTTATGCTTTTGATTAGCTGTAAGCAAAAACTTGTGTATAATTATGTTATATTTTAATGCTAAATTTCTAAATGTTATCTTGACAATATTATAAAAAATTATTACAACACTTTTTACGCCAAAGAAGTAAGACATTATTAAAGATAATGCAATAGTATTTAGAGTAGGAAAAATCTATACAAAGCAACTGAAATAAAAGCTTTAAGTTACATATACAAAATTTTTTTCATGTTTCTTATTACTACTAAATGAAAACAGAGGATAAAGGACAAAATATAATTTATTGTATTAGCTATTAATTGGAATAGAAATGATTAATTTCTAAGTTAATATTTTTGTTTGTAAATATTCCTCTCAGGAATATAAAATATTGTTAGGGAAAGAGTAGGTTCTATGAAAATATGTATTTTGAAATTTATTTTCATCAATCAGTTACAAAAAGGGACAACGGCTTTTTTGGGGGTGGTTATGTTTCATTTTGCCTTTTATACTTACAAAATGCTGGTCTGCCTCAAAGTTTTAATTAATAACACCATTACTATATACTTTTTTTTTCTGGGAAAGACAGAGAACATTATTTTGTTTATACAATACCTTAATATCAAACTGTAGGTATCGTTTGTCCATCTCCTTGGAAACTACACTTTCTATGACATCTACAGGCACGAGTTGAAAGCACTCATATGCAGGGCAGAAAATGTTATGGGCTTCACCTTCTTGAATTTTCAGATTTAAAAACCTATTAAAATATCAGAAAAGAAGAGGATGTAAGTTATTTGTACATATTAAGAATGTTTTCTTTTTTGAAGATTTTCTATGAGAGTGTGATTAAAATAACACCAAGAGCTATATGGTGTTACTCACCATACGGCATTCACCAAGACCTGGGTTTACTTTTCTTCCCTCACTCTGCCAGACACTGCATATGGTGTTGTAACTGTTATTTAATACCGACTATGTACAAGCAAGAAACAACAAACATTTTAACTGGATTTTAATGGATTTTTTTTGAGACAAGGTCTTATGAACCCTAGAAGGGCCTTTAATTTACTATATAACTGAGAATGTCCTAGAACTTCTAGTTTTCTTGCCTCCCTTCACATATGTTGTTCAGATATGTGCCGAGCAGAGCAGGTTTACATGATACTAAGGTTGGAACCCATGCATGCTAGCCAAGCACTCTAATGAGAAACAGTCCTAGCTGTGGATTATACTGTAGTTAGCAATTTTAGAGAAAAAAAAAAGGAAAACAGGTAACTAAACTGAAATGGCCTGGTATCATGACCAACAACTTTGATTTTTCTATCATCTTCTTCCTTTAGTGCTGTCTATTAATTTCACTGTACTTAGGAACAGGGGGGGGGGAACCAAGGGAGACTTAGAAAGACTGCATTAGACATGAGGCTTAAGTCTGACTACTCGGAAGAGTATCTTTGTGTGGATAGAAAGAGTAAATTCCTTTTGCATCGCTGGCACAGATGCCTCAGAGCATCTGGCTACAGTGACAATGCAGAGGGAGGGTAAAAGTGGAATAGATGGGCTTCAAGCTTTACAAGAGCCTTTCAAAACTACTCTTCATTAAAAGCCAAGTTTTATGTTTCTACGTGATGCTGAAGAGTGTTTTTAAAAACTGTTTACATTTATTTATGTGCATGAGGTGGGGCATGCACACTAACTGCAGTGCGCACGTAAAGAGCAGAGGGCAACCTGCAGGAACCACTCCTCTCCTTCCATAGTGTGGCTCTGTGGAGTCACACTCAGGTCACCATGCTTAGAGGGCACATGCTATTACTTGTGTATCAATGACCCAATTTGTTTTACTTGTGTCTGGTGTGACAAGAGCTGCCATGGATCAGGTGGAGAATGGTGAGTAGATGATATAACATCAAGGGAAATATTAAGAACAAAATTTAAACCTTACCAAATTCTTTTCTGGCTAGTATTTGGTAAGAATAGGGGATAGTTTCTATGATACTAGTTATATGAGGAAGGTCATTAAAGGTCAAAAAATTCAAGTAATTCACAGGCAAGGTCAATTTTCATATCAGAACAAGTCCAACAACCACCAATGGTAAAACCTAGCTAGCACTCCCTCAGACAATACAGTTAAGACTTTGAAACTAAATACCTAGAGAAAATTTTCTGTTCAAGAATTGTGTCAAAAATTATCTAGTTTGTGAGTTTGACTCTTGTGAATTAGTTGACTTGTATTAGCTACACTGAATTAATCCCATTAGATTTAAAAGTCTAGTCTATGTTTAAAATCTAAAACAAACAGGTATACTTATTTACTCTGACTTTTTGAAAAGCATTTCTTTCCCTCCAAATGAAGTCTTGCTCACACTGTTTCAGAAAACATAAAAGTACACATAATGAAACCAGGACACAGATTAGTCCGTTACGCGCGCGCGCGCGCACACACACACACACACACACACACACACACACACACACACACGCATACATATATATTCAGGAGTGAGGGAAGGTGGGAAGAGGAGGATAGAGAGGCAGAAAGAGATGTGCAGGTACATGTAAGTGTGGGTGCATTTGTATGTGTGTGTGTCAGAGAGAGAGAGAGAGAGAGAGAGAGAGAGAGAGAGAGAGAAAGAGAGAGAGGGAGGGAGGGAGAGGGAGAGAGGTGTGTATGTGTGTGTGTAGGACAGATAATCTGAGGTGTCATTTGAGAAGTACTATCATCCACCTCCTTTGAGGTAGAGCCTCTCACTGTCCTGGAGCTAAAGTGCTAGTGTTTTAAAAATGAGGCTGGACTGGCTGGCCCAGGAGCTTTTCTTCCTCTAACACTGGGTATGTAAGTGCATGCTAGTATGTGTGTTCTAGGTTGTGAGCTTGGCTTCCAATCTTGGGCAACCACTTTACCCATTCTCGAACCTAATGAGTAAATTTGGGAAACTAACTCATTATCTTGATTGTGGTGATAGTTCCATGGTGTACACATATGTCTCAATTTATAAACTAATTTATTTTAAATGTATAGATAGATATATAGCAATTGTACCACAATAAAATTGTAAATAAAACAATACAAAACAAAAGCAGCAAACCACCAGGTCTTTGCTATCTCATTCATGTAATGCTCCCCACATCCCTACTACACTTAGTACTCAGTTCATGAAAAAAATAGTATTACAGATTTTCTTAGATACATATATTTTGCTTAAATCATTAAATAAAAAGTTCTGAGTCCCCAGAGACAGTAAGATACTATACTGTTCATTTATACTGACCTGTATTTGTTTCAAAAACTGTCTCAAAAAGTTCAAGGTAAGACATGAGAATGTATAAATCTAAGACAGATTATAAAGAGGAAATGAGAGAAAGCATGAGAAGAAAAATATCTACTGTAGTACACACCCAATCTCTAGTGTAGACATTTGAGTTTAGATTAACAAAAGAGAATTTCAATTATCTGCATTCTTACTGATTTTCAAGGCAATGTGCCTGCTTTAAAAAAAATTCAGAGGCCACCAATGCTTAAAATTCTTCGGATATAAGATAGAAATTGATTCTTGATATTTAGGTACACACCTCAAATTTATATTATATGTAATGTAAAAGAAAATACTAACAATTGTTTAGTTATACTTTTCTTGACGTCAAAGGGGAAAAACAAAAATACTCTTTCTCTGTGAAACAGTACATTTCAGTGTAACTAAAAAAACAATATAAATGATCAACATCATTAAATACTGAAGACAAACAATTTCATTACCAAATCAAAAGTGCTATCAACTAGTAAGAGATGAATAAGCTGCTCATATACTCACGACTCCCAACAGCCTCTACAAAAATCGTGTCCACAGGGCATATCCACTGGATCTTCAAATACAGAAATACTGCACATACAAATGTCACACTGGAGATGTACAAGAAAAATGACTTAACAGGGTCAGACTCCGAAGAGAAGCAATACGTCAATTTTGTTCAATCATTCAAAGACAAAAATATTACAGTAATTATAAATCTTTTTTTCCACCTTTTTTTTATTGGATGTTTTATTTACATTTCATATGTTGTCCCTTTACCCCAGTTTCAAAGCTACAAGGTTGACTGTCTTTTTTATATTTCTCATTTAACTAAGTTTACCTATTAATCAGCATTGAGCATTAGGGAAAGGGAAATGTAAGAAATAAATCATTAGCATCTATTCAGGTCAAGATCACATAGCATGTTACAAAGTAACCACTTCAGCATGGTATCTTTCATTCTATGCACACTGTGGCAAATACACAGGAACAGAGAAAACTTTGTGTTTTGAACACAACAATTCAGGATACTAAGAGTGGCAACTTGGGTTGGAGATGTGGCTCAGTGGTACAGTGCTTGCCTAGCAGGGCTGATCATCTGAGTTCAAGTACCAGCATTTCTTAACTCCCCACCCCAACACACACACACACACACACACACACACACACACACACAGAGAGAGAGAGAGAGAGAGAGAGAGAGAGAGAGAGAGAGACACACACACACACACACAGACACACACAGACACAGATACACACACAGACACACACACACACAAAATAGCAAGGTAAAATGTTCAAGCAAGTAAGTCTGACACAAAACTATGTTATCTTCAAACATGACTTTGGAGAAGCAAACTTTGTTACAAATGTGAAATACAGAAACAGCATTTTGCCTTCCCAAATAGTTCCTACAATAGACAAAGGGAAGCTTTCTTATGTATTACAACTTTCCATTGGCTAAAGCAGTCAAATGCATCATAATCGCCTACACAGCACAGCAGCAGGGTGCTGTTTGTTTATTACACACAAGGGCAGGACTGTTGCCTGTTAAAGGAGAAGCATTTATTAAGGAAATGTACTGAATGAACTCAGAAATTTGCTAGAACCAGCATATGATCATTAAAATATACTATAATACTTTAAAATATTAATGTTCAGTAAATTATTTTAAATTTTCATTTTAGGTTAAGAATACATACTATAAACAGTTTTAGTATCTCAGTATGCTTTATTTAAATATATTGAATACTTTTAGGTGAAAATGTAGTATATGGTTTTTCCAAACTGTTTTGAAGTGAGAAAATATTTTTGCTTTTTAACTTATAGAGAACACAAAATCATTCTAGAGTAGTAAGAATTTACAAAAGCACAAAAATAACCAACCCTTCAAAACTAGGTAAGAGATTCAGTTACCGTAATACAAACAACCACTCCACAGGACAGTATCACATAGTTTAAAAGTGGAAAGACTAAAAGCTATGGGAAGTATAGTAAGCCGTACCAAGCTGGTATCTAAATCCCCAGGAGAGAGACTGATTTCATCTGGAGAGGTGACAGAGGACCGTGTAGTCCTTGGAGTTCTTGGGGAAGGCAGCGTGTCCCAGGCATTGTACCCGCTTGGTGGTGGAGTTGGCATCTGCACACCTGACCGTTGGCAGCAGTTCTCCGGGTTGGACATCCAAGCTTCAAGCAATTTCTCCCTGTCCCAATCTTTAGGGAAAACAAAACAGATATCTAAGAAAACCAGAAACTACAATATTTTGAAACCTACTAAAATTGAAACAGGATAAATGAAGAAGATAACTATGAAAGCATGTCTAGGTTGACCAAAGTTAGTAATATTTTAAAATGGAATTGAAACTACTATTACTAGAACCACTTTGTTAAGAATGTTCTCAGAATTCCTAATAATTTCTACTATTATTTTAAGTAGATGTTCCACTTAGAATTTACTAATTTTTTTGGTAGAGGTTTAATTTAGCCACATTCCGCTTTTAGTACATAATTTTGCAAGGGCCTTCACATGGTCTCTAGTTGTAAAATGGTTACAGTCCTAAAAGTCATTTGGTAAAGAGTCTGAAAGTAGAAGGACTTCCCAAATAAACTTGGTTATAAATAAAATTTTAGTGAGTTAATTTAGCTTAATATGGATTAATTTAGAACAGATAATCTTTCTGTGAATATTTATAAAATGGTTAAGTGAAACATTATTATAAAGTCTAGAGTCATAAAAATCCAAAATTAAGTAAAACTAACAAGCTAAAATATTCAATAATTTTGCTTGAGGTTGTATATATAACATTTATTATATACATCAATTTATTTCTCCTATAAAGTTATCAGTTACTATTTAAACTGAAGAAACTAAAACCCACGGAAGTTATTTAACTTACCTAAGCTCAGAAAGGACTTGAAACCTCTTTTGGGATTCCAAGAGTGTGTTCTTCCCACTACCACACTGTCAAGTATATTGAAAATGCACCCGCAATGTAAAACAGAATGATATAATCTAGTCATACACAAGAACCAAAGCCAGCCCACTATTGTAATACCTGGACAGTCATGTCTGTCTTAACACTAACTGCAATTGCTAATGGAATCAAGGTAGGTATTGATCAGTAGATAAACAGATAGAGAAAACACCCCTCCCACATACCACACATACACACACTCCTAGACCCTTACCCCCCACAACAGATACACACAAACACTCTCTCTCTCTCTCTCTCTCTCTCTCTCTCTCTCTCTCTCTCTC